ACCAATTTCTGGCGCTCCCAACTGGAAACACTGCTTATGGGTTTGGACTTATTTGACTTCATTGACTGCTCCAAAGTCGCCTCTCCTCGCACAATCACGGTAGACGCCGCCGTCTCACCAAATCCGGCCTATCAACATTGGTTTCAACAAGATAAGCTCACCTCCATGCCTTGCGTTGTTTGATTTCTGAATCGATTTACTCTTTTGTTCTGCTGCATCTACATCTCGTGTTGTGTGGTTGATCCTTGAAAAGCTCTATACGAGCAATGCCCAGTCCCGTATTATCCATTTGAAAGGATAATTGGCTAAAAACTCAAATGGAGATCGAGATGTCCTGATCTTTGTAAATGATCTCAAAAGCACTGCAATTGAACTCGCTCTTATCGAGGAACCTGTCTCCGACATCGATCTGGTCGTATTCTGCCTTCGCGGATTGGGGGAAGAATATAATGCCTTCGCCGCCGCCATCCGTACTCGGGGACCCGACCTATGTCTGGAGGACCTGATTGACTCACTGGTTGAATATGAATCAGACCTCCGAGCTTAGGCGAAGACTTCAGTTCTGACGGCATTCTTCCCTCGGGGACAGCGTCATGGCGGCGGAGGACCTTCCTTCTCTGGCGACTCGTCTTTCTCTCGTTCCCAGCGAGGGTTGTCTTCCCAACGGGTCTTCTCTCCGCGTGCCTCCTCTCCACGGGCTGCTCCTGATTTCCAAAGGGCTTTCATCCCACAACAATATAATCATTTTGGGCCCAATTCATTTGCTTCCTCCAGCCAGCGCAGGCCCCGTATTGTTTGTCAATTGTGTGAGCGTCCGGGACATTCCGTGCGCCAGTGCTTTAAGCTGTTTCTACAAGCCCGTCACGATTATCAAGCTCTTCAAGCTCAGGCTAATCACACCACAACTAATCTTGCTTCTTCATCCAGTCCATGGTTGCTTGACTCTGCGGCCTACTATCATGTTACCTCGTAGCTAGGAAATTTATCTCTTTATTCCGACTACACTAGCCCATATGAGATTCTTGTAGGCGATGGCACAGGTTTGAAAATAACACACATTGGGTCTTTCTTCCTCATTTCAATTGCAAGATGTGTTATGTGCTCCTGCCATTAAGCGTAAACTTATCTCAGTTGCTAAGCTTTGTCGGTCTAATCCTATCTCGGTAGAATTTTTTGCTGATTGTTTTGTTGTGAAGGATCTTCGCACGGGGGAGCCATTACTGAAGGCAGCAAATAATGGGGATGTCTATTAGCTACTGAGTGATGAGGACACGGTTCATCTTGCTCTTGTCACCACACGCACCTCCTTTACATCCTGGCATGCCCGGCTTGGTCACCCATCCACCACCTCCCTCACCAGCCTCCTTTGCACTTATTCCTTGCCAGTATCGTCCTCTCTCGTCAGTAGTCATTGCCCTTCTTGTCTTTCCAGTAAAAGTCACAAGCTTCCTTTCGCAGTTTCTTCCCTATCTAGCACTCAACCATTTGCTTTATTGTATACGGATGTTTGGGGGCCGGCTCCGGTCACCTCCATTGATGGTTTTTGTTATTATTTAATCATCGTTGATCATTTTCCCGTTATACATGGTATTATCCGTTGCATAGAAAGTATGATGTTCTTCAAGTGTTTATTGATTTCCGCAAAATGGTTGAAAACTATTTTTCCACCACCATTCGTCGTCTCTACTCTGATGGTGGTGGTGAATTTCAAAAATTATGCTCCACGCTGGTTAGTCATGGCATCAGTCATCTCCTTAGACCTCGACATACGCCTGAGCATAATGGTTTGGCAGAACGTAAACATCGCCATCTTGTCGAAACGAGTATAACTTTCCTGCATCATGCTAATTTTCCTACCTCTTTCTGATCTTTTGCATTTCCCACAACCATCTATCTCATCAATCGTCTCCCGCCCTCTGCCTTACGTGGTCAGATTCCATTCACTACTCTCTTCAATCTTGCTCCTAATTATCACAAACTGTGTGTATTTGGTTGCCTCTGCGACCCTTGGCTGCAACCCTACTCCTCTCATAAACTTGCCCCACGGTCCCGTCCTTGATTATTTATTGGTTACTGTCCTCAATGTAGTGCGTATAGGTGCTTTGATCGCTGACACTCACCGCGTTTTTTTTCCTCTCGTCATGTCCACTTTGTTGAAACCTCCTTTCCTGGCCTGTCTTCTAACCCTTTTGTAGATGCTCCTTCGGTGGAATTTTGGATCCATGATACCGGCCCACACATCACTCACATCCCCATCACTGGGCAGCCTTCCCTGACGGCATTTCGCCCGGCCCCTCCCCTTCAGGATCTGGTCTCCCCTGCGTCGTTGCTCCCTCACACGATCAGTCTGCTCATGACCCTACTTTTGCTTTTGGGCCGTGCCTGGCCCTCCCGCTACTGTTGGGCCGTCTCTGAATCTAGAGTTTGAGACATCCTCGCCCCATCCCGCATGCACATCCTCCACTACTGGGCCATCTCCGCATCCAGGGCTTGAGATATCCTCGCCCCGTCCTGCGGGTCCATCCTCCGTTGCTGGGTCGTCCACGTCCATAGGGCTTGGGCTTTCCACGCCCCCTTCAACTACAACAGGGCTAAATGCTCCTCCTCCTCTCCTTCGGCCTCATCGCATGCGCACCCGGGGCCAAGACGGTATCTACAACCGAAAATGCTGTTTTCAGCCAACTATACCACCCGCTCCCCTCCCTTGGAACCCCGCTCTGTTCAAGCGGCTATGCAATATCCAGAATGGGATCAAGCTCTTCGCAAGGAGCATTCAGCTCTACTCCGCAACCACACATGGGATCTTGTTCCCCGGCAGCCTCACTTTAATGTTCTTGGTAACAAGTAGGTCTATCGTATAAAGCATCACTCTGACGGCTCGATCAACCTTTTTAAATGTCGTCTAATTTCCAAAGGTTTTCATCAACGTCTGGGTGTGGATTTTCAAGATACCTTCAGTCCTGTGGTCAAACCTGTTACTGTTCGAACTGTTTTCACACTTGCTCTCTCTCAGAATTTCCCAATCAAACAGTTTGACGTTAACAACGCCTTTCTTCAAGGGCCCCTCACTGATGAAGTATGCATGGTCCAAACTCCTGGGTTCATCGACCCCGATCATCCCACTCATGTTTGTCGTCTCCGCCGTGCCATCTATGGCTTGCGCCAGGCTTCCGTGCTTGGTACACTGCTCTTAGCTCCTTCCTTCTCGAGTTCTATTTTCGGAAAACTGAATCTGATGCCTCCTTATTTGTCTATCATCACTTCGACATTATCCTGTACTTTCTCGTCTATGTGGATGATCTTCTGCTCACCGGGAATGATCGTGCTACTCTCTGCCTTTCAATTGGCCTTGGCGAACAAGTTCTCCCTCAAAGCCCTCGGTGATGTCAATTATTTTTTGGGCATTGAGATCATTCCTACTGCCTCTGGTTATGTTCTTTCACAACACAAGTATATGACGGATATTCTCACTCGCTCTCATATGTTGGATGCTTCTCTGGTCACCACTCCCCTTGCTTCCCCTGTTACCCTTTCCTTGCGCGATGGCACTACTCCCACCGACGCTACCCGGTTTTGGCAGGTAATCGGGGCACTCCAGTATCTCACCTACACTCATCCTAACATCGCTTACGTCGTCAACAAGCTCTCTCAGTACATGCATGCCCCTACATCTCATCATTGGCAGTGTCTTAAACGTCTTCTGCGCTATGTCTGTGGCACCATCTCCTATGGTCTTACTATTTGGCGTGCTTCTCTGCCCATCCCCCTCACTGCCTTTGCTGATTCTTACTGGGCTGGTAATCTAGATGATCGCACCTCCACCTCTGCATATCTTGTCTATTTAGGCTCCACCCTTATCTCCTGGCGCTCTTAGAAGAAAAAAACAGTTTCCCGATCTAGTACAGAGGCTGAATATCGCGTCATCGCTAAAGCCACTACCGAGTTAGAGTGGGTATAGAATCTCTTGGCAGAGCTCCATCAACCATTGTCCTCGACACCCACGCTCTACTCTGATAACCTGGACGCTACCAGCTTCAGCTCCAATCCCCTGTTCCACTCTCGCATGAAGCATTTGGCTTTGGACTACCATTTTGTTCGTCAACTGGTCCAAACCGGACGCTTCACCATCCGCTATGTTCCCACTGCTCACCAGCTTGATGACACTCTCACCAAACCGCTTCCCGCTCTGCATTTCCTCCTTCTACAATCCAAGATTGGAGTAGTTGACACCTCATCCATCTTGCGGGGGCGTATTGAAGAAAAAGAATAAAAATTATTTTATTTATTTTCTCTCTAATTATTCGGTTCCACCTTTCACCACTACTCAACTCCCCTGTACATTCTCCCCTAAAATCTCAACAAACTCCCTCGTATCTCCTGTAAATTTGTATAAAGTGTGGCTGAATATAACGATGGAAATTAAGGTCTTTTGATCTTAATCAGATTCTCTTCCCAACAATTCTCCTACTCTAACACAATCATTTGCCAATTCGTGTAACTACCATGGTAAGTGGTTAATCACCATTGTCGACGGTGGATGCTCTGCTAACATAAAAAAAAAACATAGAACTTTGACACTCACATGATAAATGAATCACTATTTAATGGATCACTATTTGATTTCATACATTTAGTATTTAGAGCTCGCAATGATGTAACTTTTGGAGCAAAATTTTTCTTAGTGTTTTCTATTTTAGATTGCACTCAACGTCTCAATCAGAAGTCTCATTTATAGTTTAGTTTAATCTTGATATGAAATTAAAATTGGGTATTAGAATCTGACTAATAGTGGCAATACCTAATCACAAAAAGTATAACCTATATCATCCGTATCTAAAAAGAATTATGAGGAAATTTATTAAATTAAAAAAAAATATATTATACAATCGTATTACTTTTGATTCGATCCAATATTGATCAACCCGATTAAATCCTTTTTACACCAAACCGTTACATTTACAGAAATTCAACCATGACTTCCTCTCGTTTAAGTCGTTAGTCATTACATTACATTACCTTAAGAGAGAATCCATCATCTATGTTCCTTCTTTTCATCTATCAAGAAAACTCAAGCCATTGAATTGGGATGGTTGTTATTTGTTAACATGAAAATCGACTGATAATGAGTTCCCTCTTCGATAGAAAGTGTCAGGATTCCAGGCCTCACTGACGGATGAAATTGCGGTCAGGGCTATCACTACAGACCTCATGCTCGGCCGCACTTCAGGATTCTCCCTCGTGCATGCCCTCCCAAGCTCTGCCATCTGCAAATTTTGGCCACCAAGAAAGAAAATTGCGTTCTCATACCCCAAGAAAGCATCGTTACATGATCGATAACCATATTTTTTTTCCTTTTGTACCTTTCGGACCGAATCCAATGGGTATTCATGGCCAAGGCTTGGATCAATCAATTTCATCAACTCTTGTTCACTGCAAGGTTGGTTCTTCAGCACTTCCCCAAACTGTAGTGAGAAACAATTACAAGGGCGCTCATGTCGTGATTCATCATGTACAATTACATATTTACAATATCATCTTAATAAAACTATATCCAATTAAAGAAAACGTTAATGCGCCTGTCTAGACACTTGAAGTAAAAATAACACTTTGTACTATATTATGAATGAAATAACAGTTTAAAAACCTACCACACTTACAGTTCAAATTATTAGTTAATTAGTTAAAACTTCAAAACATGAAAATAGCTCGTAAGTTCATAGAATCATAACTATATAGTTTTAAAGTTCCTAAACTATTCAAGAAATTAACAAGATTGAGTTTGTAGTTAATGTTAATTTCTCCCTTAGATATTGACCGCCTGTGTGTTGCCTTACTCCTTCGTCGCGTTCTCAATACCTAACTCATAGTCAAGGCATTTTGACATTGTCTAGAGCCTAAGCACGGCTAGGAGTAAGTTTAAGCGTGCCTTTTTGAATCATGCCAATAATCGGGCGCATTTTTTGCGCAATAGGCCAAAACAAAAAATAATAAATAATAAACGATCTAGTAAATAAACATGCTTGTTCCTCGCCTTCTGAAACTTAGATCTTTTTATCAATCCATATGATTATCTTTTATAAAAAAACGCATGCTTGTTTAGACAACTAAAATCACCATAAAATGCAATAATTAACCTTGTGATCAACTGAAAAAATAAGCAATAAGCAAAAATGGGTGATAGACATGAAAGAGGAGGGGGGGGGGGGGGGGGGGGGGGGGGGGGGGGGGGGGGGGGGGGGGGGGGGGGGGGGGGGGGGGGGGGGGGGGAGCAAAGGGATCTGACCAGTGCAACAAGGGTGGTTGCTTCAATTTGGGATGACCCGTTTGGTGGGATGATAGCCTCCTTCCCAGAAATCAGTTCATAAAGGATGACACCAAATGCATACACATCCACTTTGGAAGAAACGGCCTTCATGTGAATATATCTGCATCATGATAAGGTAAAAATGATTCACTAATACAAAAATGTGTTAGTTATATCCACATACATGAGGGAAAAGTTTTACTATACTTGATAACACCTATGTGACTTCCGGTCAAGTCATAACAAAAAAATAAAGCCTGGTTGACACTTACTCTGGCGGCATGTACCCAAATGTGCCGACAAGAACTTGTGAGGGGACTAATGTGCCTTCTATCTTGGCCAGTTTTGCCAATCCAAAGTCTGCAACTTTAGCTCGCAAGTTGTCGTCGATCAAGATGTTGGCCGACTTGATGTCCCGGTGGATGTACACCGGAATCGTGTGCTCGTGGATGTACTCCAGCCCTCTCGCTGAATCCAGAGCAATCTGCAGCCTCGAAGACCAGGACAGAGGTTCTCTATCTGTAAAAGAAAAAAATTCAAATGTTACATTGAATCCTTATGTAACAAGGACTACCTAATCTGGAAAAAAGAAAAGCAATCATACCAGAACCACGTAAATGTTGCGATAAGTTGCCATTCTCCACGTACTCATAGACGAGAAACAGAGAGCCCTTGATACAATACCCAATTAATCGAACCTAAGATTTGTACATTAACAAATTAAAGCACTAATCATGATTTAGCCATGGCTAAGCAGAGCAGGGAGAAATATTAATATACGACTTTGTAATCGAATTTTTGTATCTTGATTTTACCAGGGTGAGGTGATGAACATTGGTTAAGACCTTGAGCTCAGCCAAGAACTCCTTGGACGCTTCCATCTTCATCTTCTTGATTGCGGTTTTCTGCCCTCGGAGCTCGGCATAGTAAACTTCGCCGAATCCACCTTCGCCGATCTTCTTACTCAAGCTGAAGTCGTCGGTAGCAGCAGCGAGTTCTTCGTAAGTGAACTCCACGGACTTGGCAACAGTGACGCCACGTGACGGAACCGGAAACTTTCTGGCCCGCGCTGCCTCCGTCCGGCGGTGGCGACTGGGTTTTCTCCTGTAAACTCTGGCGACGGCGAAACCGGCTAGTAACATGACGATTACGGCACCGGCTGCTACGGCTATGCCTAATCTCAGACCATTGATAGCTGATATGCAAATGGAAAAGGTTAGCAGATTGTGAGGTGTTTGTTTTGCATTTTCTTCATCAATTTTGTTATTTATGTCAAAAGAGTCCACCTTTCCTGCAAAATTGGGTAAAAGGGACAAAAAATTAGTACATCAAACATCCTGAGGGATCCCAAACATGAATTGTATAGGGTTTCAGCAAGTTATGTCACCTTGATCCCAACGGCCGGTAGCTTCCTTCTGCATCTGCAAAAGCAAAAGGAAGAAAGAGGTCAACCTTCAAATTGCCATAGGGTTAATATCTAACAAAAAGAAATATGTGAGTTTTGATTGGTTGGTTAAGCGCAATGCAGTTTCGATCTGGTGGTGCTAGCAATTTTAGATGTCGTTGGAACAAGTATATCTATCCATCCCCATTTCATTGCGTTAAGGTAAAAACTAAAAAGTGTAACTAGTTTAGATCTAGATTCTAGACCACAAATAAAAAATAAACTAACCTCTGATCGGGATGTAAACCAAGCCACTCCCCCGCCCAAAATCCACACCGACGTTGTACCGCCGGACCAACTCCGACGAGACATTACTCCACGCGGCAACCGAACCGAAACTATCTTCCGGCCGAAGAGGGTAAGTGACAAACAGCCCGAAATCCCTCGACACGTCAGCGTTTCCACACGAGCAATTCACCGTGACGTTGACCACCCCTGCATCGGGCAGTCGACTGGAATTGTAGGCGTTGAACCACTCCAGCGCCGCCTCCGTGGTCAGGTTGGCGTATTTCGCCGCGATCCCCACGTAGGTGTCGTTGACCGCCAGGTTGTAGCGGAAAACGTGGCCGAGGAATCCGCCGGAGAGGCAGTCGCAGGGGAAGGGGACGTTAACCCTGGTGTTGGTCTGGATGAGGTCGCCGTTGGCCAGCTGGCGGTTGAAGCTCATGATGGGACCCACGAGGACCGGGTCGAGGATGCGGGACTGCATCAGGTCCCGGATTCCGGTGAGGTTGGCGCCGTCGGAGATGAAGAAGGAGGCTAAGGCCAGGTCGCAGCCGCGGGTGCATGATTGGGAGCAGACGGAGGTGATGAGTAGTGTTGATAGGAAGAGGAACAGGGGAAATTTGAACTGGTGATCGGAATCCATGGAATAGGGGTAGAGATTTTTTGGAGGGGAGGTGAGAGTTGAATTTTTTTTTTTGTTTTTTGGATGTATGGGTCTGTTAGGAGTGGAAAGCTTTGAGTTGTGCCGGGATTTGAGACTTTTCCTATGGTGGAGTTGGTCGCCTGATCCATGGCTGTCTTCTTGACGTTGATTTTTGGGATTTATAAGGAAACTTTGCACTTAGACACCTAAATTTTCTAAGAACTTACAATTTGGCTCTTTTATTCTTGTAATACTTGTGATCGCATTGTCGAATTTATTGTTTTCAAACAAGAGGTTGTCATTATTAATTATCGACTAATCCTTTATTGGACATTATTGATTTCTTTCTGTTGGGATGCTTGTCTTGTCTGAACTCTGAACCAAGAGCACCGAAGACAAGTTCTACCACTTAATAACACTAGTTTTTTGGCCCGCACTCCCCCACGGTAGAAATCAATAATTTAATTTAAATCAAATAATTTACAAAATTATTCTGGTAAGATAAATATGTAAGTTTCATGTGATGTTTTAATCATTACGAATAACATACATCATCCGTTTGGTTAAGTGATACATTGTAAATAACTATTTCTACATAAAGTTTGTTTCATTATTATAGAAAACTTACATATTATTTTTTAATTAATACATAAATGATTATTTGTCCATAAACTTTACATAGTGTCTTAATTATTAAGTAAAACTCATGTAATAGTTATAGAACGTAATTACATAAATTTTTCATAATGTGTGGTCTAATAGTATAATCAAGTTATAGTAAGTAACATCGACGAATTTTAAATTTAAATAGATTTATTGAATTTTGTTACATAAATATTTCATAATATGTGGTCTAATAATAATTTCTTATGAATTGTAGACTTATCGTTGAAGTGGTTGTAGAGAATAAAACTCATATAATTGCTTATGAATTTTAGACTAATTGTAGAAGTGGTTGTAGCGAATAAAAATCATATGAATAATATTTCAAAAGGGAGAAAAAGAGCTTATGATAAAATTGGGTATATGGGATAGAACCGTATTGTGAACACCCGTGGAGTAAAAATATCCTATTTTTTCTTAATGAACAGTAATTGCTTATGAATTTTAGACTTATCGTTGAAGTGGTTGTAGAGAATAAAACTCATATAATTGCTTATGAATTTTAGACTTATCGTAGAAGTGGTTGTACCGAATAAAAATCGTATGAATAATATTGCAAAAATGGAGGATAAGGGCTTATGGTAAAATTGGGTATATGGGATAGAACCCTATTGTGAACAGTACCTGTGGAGAAAAAAATAGGCTATTTTTTCTTAATGAATAGTGAAAAGTGCTTGTGCTTTTAAATTATATAATAATGGGGTAGAGACATTGAATTTTATCCGGAGACGACTTCAGTTCCTCATTTGATAAATCAATATCAATTTTTTTAACAAAATATAATCATATTGATTGAATGAAAGATCAGAGATTACATCCCGAAACCAACCCAGACATGAAAATAAAAAATATGACACGAGGTCGGAGGCAAAGAAAAGACCTTCCGAGCCACAGGATGGGCACCCTATTGCTAATCAAACCTACCAATCGAACATGATAATCAATATCGTATCATCTTTCTAAATTATAAATTTGTACATTTTTTTTGTTCTCATTTCACCATTCAACTTATATAGCTAGATCTGATGTAGCTTACAATTCAAGAAAGAAGACAAAACTTAGGGAAAAAGTAAGTACATGTCGAAAAGGGTAAAAGACTTAAATAAAGAAATCAGGTACTACTTGCCATTTTTCCAGAAACGACGTCACTCCAGGATCGTTTCTTCACATCCGCTGATGGTGATACGACGTCGCTTAGACTCGTCTTTTTCTCCCCTGCAGACGAGCATGCTCTTTTCTCAACCGGTGGAGAGGCGTTGTTAACATCCAGTTGTTGAACATGCTAGTTATGTGATGCTGCAATGGCTAAGAGCAGTCTGATTGTTGTCATTTTGACTAAAAGAGCAAATATATATTGGTAGTCGACTCCTTCTTGTTGACTGTAGCCATTGGCTACAAGTCGAGCCTTCTGCTTCTCTATACTGCTATCTGAGAGATGTTTGTTCTTATAGACCCACTTGTTACCAACTTCCTTCTTCCTAGGAGAGAGTTTAACCACATCCCAAGTGTGGTTGGCTTCCAAAGCCTTGGTCTCAACTGTCATAGCATCGTTCCGTTTAGTGTATTGAATGGCTTCCTTGCAGGTTTCAGGTTCTTTATGGGAAGAGATGCTTAGAACAAAATGCTTGTGCGTAAAGGAAAGAGTAGAATAATCAAGTACAGAAGAGAGGATAGGTGATACCTGGAGATTGCCGCTGACTTAGATGACTGGTGGAAGAAATCTGTTGGAGCATGTTGTAATGGTATTGTTGTAGGTGAGTAGGAGGTTTCATGATTCTGGTTGATTTTCTGAGAGGAAGTTGTGGGACTGGTTAAGGAGAAAAGGGTGATAGAGGAGATGATGAATCTGGGAGAGAGTCATGGTCATCATCTAAATCAAAATATAGGTCATTGAGGAATTATTCATGTTCTAGAGATGGATCAGGCTGGATCAGAGGGGGTGGAATAGGCCGGGATATGATCTAGATTGGAATTGTGAAAGGGGAATATATGTTCATGGAATTGAACATCTCTAGAGACAAAAACATCATGAGTCAGGAGATCATAGATTTTGTAACCTTCATCCCACTCTGAAAACCAGTAAGAACTCCTTTCCTAACTCTAGAGTCAAATTTCCTCTGTGGTTGGCTAGGGTGCTAGCAAAACATAAGCATCTAAAGACCTTGAGATCAAATAGGTCTGGTTTTTTATTGTGAAGTATTTTATAAGGAGTTTGGTTCCCCAGAACAACTACAGGAACCCTATTGATAAGATAAACTGAGTGTTTGACAGAGTCCCCCCAGAAAGGTAGAATGAAGATTAGCTTGAAATATTAGGGCTCTAGCAACAGCAAGTATGTGCCGATGCTTTCGTTCTACTTTGCTGTTTTGTTGAGGTGTCTCAACACAAGATAATTTATGAACAATGCCAGTTTGGTTAATAAATCAGTCATGGCAAATTCTCTACCTTGATCACTCCTAATTTTTCTCACGGTGGTTTGAAATTGTCTTTCTGCATAAGAACAGAAAGCTTGAAGCTTTGGTTTAGCTTCTGATTTAGTTTGTAAGAGAATCAACAAAGCCATTCTACTGAAATCATCAAAAATTGTGAGAAAATACTTGAAACCATCATAGCTGGGAATTGGATTTGGTCCTCAGATATCAACATGTAACAACTCAAAAATCTGTTTGGTTACAAAAGTGCTAGAAGGGAAAGGAACTCGCTTCTGCCTAGCAAAAGGACAGACATCACAGGCTATAGAACTGATTGTATATATCTCTGGACAAAAAGTTTTCAAATGGTCACTTTCTAATGGGAAATATGTCCTAATCTATGGTGCCAAACATCTAAGTCTTGTATGCTAGCAGCCGAGATGTGTTTTGGTTGAGTGTTATCTTCAATATTCTCTAGGTGATAAAGGCCATAGGATAGCTTAGCAAATCAGTCATCCTCCTCAACTGCATATCCTGGATCAAGCAGACAACAGAGAAGAAACTCAAGCAAAGGGATTTGTCTTTGATCAGCTGACTAACATATATGAGGTTGAAACTAAATTGAGGGACAAACAAAACTTCTTGTAAAATTAGTCCAGCAACACAGGTGACAGTGCCTATATGTGTTGCTTGAACCTTATCTCCTGTGGGTAGGGTGATGAAAATGTTGTGTATGCTTTTGTAGTTATTAGGTGGCTAAAAGAACAAACAATGTGGTAAAAAGAACTTGTATCAAGGATCCAGGTTTGGTTATGTGGTGATTTATCACTCACATTGAGCCGAAATTTACCTGAAGGAATTTGCTGGCTTAACTAGCAGTTGTAAAGGATGTGTTGCCACTGGTTGAAGAACTTTGATTCCCTTTTTCATTAATGTGGGAGATCAGCTTCATGTGATCTGCCTTAGTAAGCTTTACCTACTGGTGCAAATCCTCTGCACTTGCTATGTTTGCCTGAGGTTTGCTTCTGGGACCTCCCATTGGGTTTGAATAGCCATGTTTGCTGAAGTATTTCTCATCACCGTGTCCTTGTTTCTTGTAGTAGGTGCACTCCAGAACCCTTCCTAAAGGGTTGGTTGGCCTTGAATTCATGCCTGGTGGCCAAGAAACTTGCAATGAGTGTCAGGTTTTCTCAGTGTGTCCAAGAAACTTGAAATGAGTGTAGCAACGTCTTGACCTTCTGATTTGAGAGTTGGTGCTGCTATGTGCTGCCAAACTCACACTTTCCACAACAAGAGCTTTATTTTTTTGTGTTCCATATTGTTGTCTTTCATGTTACAACATCCTTTGGACGACTCGATCAATGGATGGCAGTTGGCAGGGCATCACCAAACAGAACTTGAGATCTAATACTTGAAAAATTCTCATTCAAACCCCTTAGAAAGTGTATGACATAATTTGTGTCTCTGTATGAAAACACTAGCCTCAATGCTGCACATGTTTCTCGACTAGTTGGTGTGCAGGTGCAGGGTTGATGAGGCTGATAATTATCCAACTCATCTCTAATAACAATTAGGTTGCCATAATATTTTGTGACAGACTGTCTACCTTGTTTGAGATTGCTTAGAGCTTCAGTGAGTTCAGTAATTCTTCCCATATGTCCTTGGCCATACCTTGATCTCAGACTTCTCCAGGCTTCAAGGGAGGTCTTGCAGGACATAATTGTCTTACGGATGCTGGCCTCAACTGCTTGTTGGATCCATGAAAGGACCATGACATTGTTCCTATTCCAGGATCAGGCATTTTGATGATTTTCTCCTGGATCTGGGATTGAACCAATGACGAAACCAAGCTTGTTCCTGGCTCCAGTCATTGTAGTTGGTGGTGGAAATTTTCTCTCCCACCAAGATCAATCCTGGCTGTTCAGAACCATGCATATAGTAGGGATCTACATTGGGCTGTGCATTTGTAGCAGCATTTCCACT